GCTTACTCCTCTAGAGCGCGCTACCTCAGTAGAGACTGAGTCTGGGCTCTCGTGGAAGGAGCAGGGCTGCAGGAAGGGTGGTGTGGGGGCACCAGCTCTGAGATTCCATCATGGGAAGCCCTTGAAAGCCCAGAGCTCAGTCAAGGCCCCAGTCCAAAGTGTGTGCAGCAGAGACCAACTGCCAGGCCCCGAGGAGGCAGCCTCCAAGCGCTCCCTTAGGCCGGGCCAGCCTCCTCCATTTCAAGACTGTTCCTCTTAACATGAGGTCCCCTCACTTACACACTGAGACTTGTTTGGGGTCATCCACGGGCTCTCCCATGCAACGTACCCTTTGTGCAGCCCCATTTTCAGTGTTCTAAGGGACGGAGCTTCCACCCACAGACTGTTCCCATGTCTCCATTTCCCTTTGTTCAGTTCCGTCCCAGTGCTTCCTCTCCGGCCGTCCTCGAGAATTCCTCTGCCAGCCTCGTACCGACACCTTCAAATACTTAGGCCTGCTTCCCACTTTGCCCAGCATATAACAACACCACCACCTAGCTCTTGTGAAGCACTTTTCACGAGGAGATCCCAATGTGCTTTACCACAGAGGTCAGTGTCCCTATCCCAATTTTACAGCTGGGGGAACTGAGGCACAGAGAGGGGAAATGACTTGCCCAGCGGTGCTGGTGGCCGAGCCTGGGTCTCTATCCACTAGGCAATTCTGCCCCCTGAGCCCTGCCCTGCCCTTGTGCAGGAGGGACAAGCTGGCTGCTTTATCCAGGCAAGAGGAGCAGCTGGAATCCCCAGACCTGTTTGCACTGATCTGGATAGCAATGGCGTTCTTTTTGGGCCAATACCCATAATACTCCTCCTGGCGCTTCATGAATTTCCTAAAGTGCTCCTGGATGAGGAAGGTCGCGTAGAACTTGCCCACAGTCACCTCATCCTCTGGAGGGGAGAAAGCCAAGTGAGGCCATTAACACTGCCCAGTGGCTATACCCAGCCCCCGTCCGAGCGGTGTGGGGCAGCGGAGGGGGCAGACAGAGGGTGCTGGGGAGAAATAAGCCAGGGAGCATGGCAAAAATGCACCTCCAATTGGTGGAATGACCTGGTCCAGGAGTTTCATGCTAGTTCTCTTCCAGATCTTCTTGATAATGGCCCTCAGCTCTTCATTGGCCTGCTCAAAGTTACCTGTGGGGAAACAAACCACCGATCCGTTCATTCCGCTCCGAGGGAACACCGCACACAGCCAATGGCTCAAGGGAAAGCCAAGATGCAGTGGGTGAAATCCATCCTGTCAGCGGTCACTCGCGTGAAGGCCCATCCGTGTTTTCTAGAGCACTCTGGGTTCCCCTCGCAGCTGTGTCTGTGTTCCCACCACTTGCGTTAGGTTCATTCGGGAAAAAAAAACCACTGTCTCTTGTCATCCTGACTTTGTGGCTCTGTCCTGGCATGGTGCCTGAAGAGTGAGAGGCGGCAGGATGGGATGACACACCCTGGCCTTGTTGAAACTGGGACAAGCCTAGAAAAATGGGAGGGGTGAGCCTAGGGAGGGGGCTCACTCAGCATGCTGTGACGGCTATCCTGGGCTGTGAGCTTGGGCTTTAACATGCTAAACAGGGAACAGTCTGGCCTGGCTGTGGATAGGAGACTTTGCTGGCACACCTGGATGCTACAGGAAACAGCTTTGGTAACATGGGAAGTAGTCAGTCCTAAGAGAGGGCTGTTAGGGGTCACCATATGGACGAGGCTATTGGTTTTTGAGATACGAAACTGTTGTCTTGGCCATTTATGGCCATTAAAAATGCAAGGGCACTTTTTTACAAGTGCTGACCCTGACGGCCTTCCCAGCTTCCATCTAGGGTTGCCAACCCTCCCGGATTGGCCGGGAGGCTACTGACGCCAATCCGGGAGATTTTAGGCTACTAAAAGTCTGGCAGCGCAGCGGGGCTAAGGCAGGCTCCCTACCTGCCATGGCTCTGCGCCGTTCCCAAAGGCAGCTGGCAAGTCCCTCTAGCTCCTAGGCAGAGAGGCAGCCAGGGAGGGTCTCTACACGCTTCCCCCCACCCTGAGTGCCGACTCTGCAGCTCCCATTGGCTGGGAATTGCAGCTAGGAATTGCAGCCAATGGGAGCTGCGGGGGAGGTGCCTGAAGGCAGGGGCAGCACGCGGAGCAGTCTAGGAGCCGGACATGCTGGGTACTTCCGGGAGTGGCCCAAGATAAGTGCCGCCCGGCTGGAGCCTGCATCCCAACCCCCTGCCCCAGCCCTGGGCCCCCTCCCAAACCCAAACTCCCTTCCAGAGCCCGCACCCCCTTCTGCACCCCAACCTCCTGCCCCAGGCTCAGCCCGCAGCCCCCTTCCACACTCTGAACCCCTCAGCCCCAGCCCAAAGCCTGCACCACCTCCCACACCCAAACCCTCTGCCCCAGCCCAGTGAAAGTGAGTGAGGGTGGAAGAGAGCGAGCGAGCCACGGAGGAAGGGGGGATGGAGTGAGAGGGAGGCACCTCAAAGAAGGGGCGGGGCCTCAGGAAGAGGCGGGGCAAGGGTGTTTGGATTTGTGGGATTAGACAGTTGGCAACCCTACTTCCATCTCAATCCCACCTCCCAAATTTCCCTCTGCCATTTGAAATAGATGGAATTGCGGTTCACCTTCCTGTCTTTACCTGCTGGGTGGTGTCGCTACCTGCGCTACCTACCTCCGTTGGCTTCTGTATCCCACCCAGAGAAGGAGAGGTTACTCACCTTGTGCAGTAACTGGAGGTCTTCGAGAGGTGTGTCCCTATAGGTGTTCCACTTCAGGTGTGCATGTGCCCCATGCGCCTCTGACTGGAGATTTTTGGTAGCTGTTCCCATTCGGCCCATGCATGCCCTCCCAGCAGCCTCCTACCCTGTGCCGGGGATAAACAGGGCTGCGCAAGTGAACTGCCCTCAGTTCCTTCTCGACCCTGAAGTCCCGTGAGACAGAACTCCAAAGCAGAGGAGAAGGAGAGTGGGTAGTGGAGCACGCATAACAACACACATCTTGAAGACCTCCAGCTACTGCACAAGGTGAGTAACCGCTCCTTCTTCTACAAGGAGTGTCCCAATGGGTGCTCCACTGCAGTAGCCCCTGAAGGAGGAGGGAACTGTGGAGCTGCCTCTGACCTAGAGGCGTGTACCAGGGCGCAGCGTTCAGGAAAAGTGTGCACCGAGGCCTCGGTCGTCACTCTGCAAATTTCAGCAATGGCTGCATTTTGAAGAGTGCCCTGGAGGCAGGCTGGAGACTGGGCTATTCTTCTCGAGGGGGCCGACCGTTAGCAGCCTGGGAACGAGCATGAATGGAACTGGAAACCCACTTTGAGAGTCTCTGGGGGGAGACTGTGGATCCTTTGGATCTGTCCGCAACTGAGATGAACTGTCTGGGAGACTGTCTGAATGGCTTGGTTCTGTCCAAAGAGAAGCTAACGCCCCTCTAACATCCAAGCTGTGGAGGGCAGCTTCCTCTCTAGTCTGGCGTGGGTCTGGGGGAAACACAGGAAGGCGGATAACTTGGTTAATGAGCGAATCAGAGGATATTTTAGGTATGAACTTGGGATGTGGGCCTAACAAAACCTTATCCTTGAAAAAAAACAGGGAAGGGGGGCAGGAAATCAGCCATCAATGCTCCTAATTCCCCAGTGCTAATTCCCCAATGCTCCTAATTCCCCAATGCTGCCTCTAAGAATGCCACTTTCGTAGGTAAGTGCACCAGAGAGCACTTAGTGAGCAGCTCAAAGGGAGATTTCATGAGACAGTTCAAATCCCATACGGGAGCAGCCTCTGCGGGAAAAGGTTAACCATTCCGTGATGAATTTTGCTGTCGTGGGATGAGCAAAGCCTGAATGAAGCCCTGCACAGGGGAACGGAAGGCTGTCGTAGCTGATGAATGAACTCTGATGGAACTCACAGAAAGAGCTGAATACTTTAAATCCAATAGATAACCAAAAACAGGGGAGAGGGAAGAAGGAACAAGGTCCATTTTTGAAGGTATTTCTAGTAGAGATCTTTCTGATGTTTCTAATAGGACCTGTTGGATCTCTGTCGAATGGGAAACCTCTATCCCCAAAAACCACTGAGGAACCAAGCTTGGAGTCAGCAGATGGCCAGGTTGGGATGGAGAGTCCGACTGGAGTCCTGGGACAGCACATAGGACATGGCTGGAAGCTGCAATGCTGAACAGGAAGTGAAGTGAGTCACGGAAGGGTACCAGACCTGCCTCAACTCAGCTGGTGCAACTAGACTGACTCTGGCTTTGTCTCATTTGATCTTGTTCAACACCCTCTGAATCAATGGTGTCAGAGATGTATAGAGTAGGCCCAAGGAATGAGAAAGGTGTCTCCCAACGACTGATGGCCCAATCCTCTTCTCAAGCAGAATTTCTTGCACTTTCTGTTGGCGGTAATTGCAAAGATGTCTGCTTCTGTAAACCCCAGGTCAGGAATCTCTGTTTGAGGATCTGAAGGTCCAGTTCCCACTCATAATCGTGGGAGAAATGTCTGCTCAGATCATTGGCCATGGTGCTCTGCATGCCCGGAAGGTAAGCGGCTGTGAGGATGTGACTGGCTTGACACCAATTCCACAGCTTTATTGCTTCAGCACAAAGAGAAGGGGATCTCACCCCTCCCTGA